CTTTCTGAACCCAAACTGTTCCGGAAGGAGAATGTTATTTTCCTCGACAAACTTGAGCAAACGATTGAGAATGAGTTTCTCGAACAATTTGCTCAGCACTGAAAGGAGGCTGATTGGTCTGTAGCTTGAAGCTAGCGTTGGGTCCTTCCGGGGTTTGCGGATAGGTATGATTTTCGCTGTCTTCCAGATACTTGGAAAGTAGTGCAGTTCCAAGCATCTGTTGAAGACAGCAGCCAGCAGAGAGTGAACCTTCATGCTGAGATTTTTCAACACTAGGTTGAATATTCCGTCAAACCCGGGGGCCTTCATGTTTTTGGTGCATTTCAGCGCTGAGCAAATCTGTTCCACTGTGATTCTATCCTCCGGAGGGATGGCACAAGGGGAGGAATCAAGGTTGAGTACGCATTGCTCAACCTGAACTTCGAGCGGACTTTGGATGTTGGAGCCAAGCAAGTGCGATTTGGCAATATGCTCACCAATCGCATTTGCTTTCTCCTGAGGGGTGATTATGAGCCGATCGTCATCATTTTCATCTTTTAGTGGCGGAATGGGTTTAGGGTGCGTCTTTAAGACCTTGGCAACTTTCCAGAATGGTCTGGAGCGGTCGTCCAGATTCTGGACAAGCCGCCCGAAGCTTTCGTTCCGGAGTGAGACCATTCTGGAAGCAATCTCCTTGTTCAGATCGGCCATTTCACGTTTCATCGCTGGATCTCCAGTCCTCTGAAACTGGCGTCTACGAACATTTCTCAGGCGAATTAAGAGTTGGGTGTGGGAATCAATAGCAATAAACTTACCCCTCACAGGAACTCGTCGGACGCACGCCTCGTCAGCCACGGTTATGGCTTGGTGGAGTCCCTCCAACGCTCGGTCGATGTCCTCCACGGTGTCAAGCGGCGGGTTGTCGATGATGTGCCTGTCTACCACGCGTCCAAACTGGGCCCAGTTTACGCGATGATAGTCCTTGCGCAGGCTTGAACCAGGAGCCACGTTGCAGCCGAGTTCAGCCACCACCGGCTGGTGGTCGGAGCTGAGTTCGTTCAAGGCTACTGGCTTGGACAAGCCGATATTTGTCAGGAACAGGTCTAGCGTCGATGGGTTGCCCGCCGGTGAGATGAATGTTGGTTCATCCGAAAACCAAACGGAGTACAGCCCATGCTGTGAGTGGTCGAACAGGAGACGACCGTTCTGGTTCTGCTGGTAGTTCCGCCAGGCCTCATGGCGAGCATTCAGATCTCCTCCAACTACGAAGCGGGAATAGGTACGGGTGATGGTGGACAGGTCCTTCTTAAATTTAGCCGCTAGTCCACTGCTGGCGGCACACTGTCGAGGGCAGTAGACGGCGATGAACTGGACGTATCCAGTCGACGACTCAACCTCCACACCAAGGGCCTCGATGATAGAGGTGCGGATATGGGACAGAGTGTGGTATTTTATTCCTTTCTTGACGACGACCGCAACACCACCCCCCCTGGAGCTGGTGCGATCAAGCCGGATAATGTTGTGGTCAGGCAACCAGAAGCTGTCGCCGGACTTTAGATGGGTCTCGGTTAGAAGACCCACGTCGATGCTGTGCTTGCGGAGGAAGTCGGCAAGCTCAATCTTTTTTGCTCTTACGGAGCAAGCATTCCAGGTGACGATAGTTAGCGGTTTAGACGCCATACTGGATGATGAACTTACCGAGCACTTGAATCTGTTCGGGCTTATTGCGGCACTTACGAAGAGCACCGGACATGTTGACGAAAATTTCCATCAGTTCATCCGCAGAGAACAGATCGGGGTTGTTGTTTTGCGCTGTTGGTTGTCTCCAGAATCCAGGGGGGGATGGAGAGCTTTGGCCAGCAGAATCACCGGAAGTTGCTTGAGCGGGATGCACCCGCGAATTCGCTTGCCTTTGCTGAGGAGCACGAAGAGGCGGGAAATCCTCCGTCCGAAATGCCGGGACTTTGTCCTTCTTGCGTCCTGGTTGGTTGTTAGTTGCCACCTGTTTTCGGATGCGTTTGAAGTCCTCGCGTTTGGAGCACTGTCTGTCGGAACCTTGATGTGCACCACCACAGTTGGCGCATTTTAACGCCACGGCTCCATCCGCAGGGCAGTTGGAAGTGGCGTGTTCTTGAGCGCAGTTGCTGCAGCGTGGCTTGATGTTGCAGTTACGGGTACCGTGACCAAAATTGAGGCACCGCTGGCACTGCGTTACGTCACGATGGCCGCCACGGTATGGCTCCCATCGTACGATGATGGAGTAGATCGATCGGATGGCTTGCAGCGCATTGAGAGTCACCGTCCCTTTCTGGAAGTGCACCAGGAAGAGGCAATCCGGGTACGTCTTCACGTTTTCGTCTCTCCTTGTCATTCGGAATACAGCGATTGGGGCTAGCTTGTACCGGTTGATTTCAGCTTCGACCATCTTGGGGTCGAAATTTGGTAGACCCCTGATGACTACCTTGAAGGGCTTCTCACCGGGGATGTCGTGCGTGAAGAATTCCGCCTTGGAATCCTTCAGATATTTCACGGCCACTTCGTACTCCGCTTTTGTTCGCAGCATCACCTTGGTGCCGATCCTGCCGAGCTTAAACTCAGCTGCAACGCCCAGCGATGAGAGATCGCCAATCAGCGTGTTGAGTGGTACTTGCTTCACCACCAGTGGAGGAAGCTTGATTTTCACCGCACTCGGGCCGGCAGAATTCTCGGTTTCGACGGCGTCGCCGAAATCACCGATGTCGCTGGCGTTCGTCGCGGTAACATCGTCGCGTCCGCTCGTACCTTCGGACTGTCCTTGATTCTTCTTCCTCTTTTTTGTCCGCTTCACAGGGACTGGGTTGGTATTTCCAACATCGGTGGGCAGAGTAGCGTACCTATTTGAGGTAGGTACCGAGCTACCCTCACCACTGTTCTTCTTCTCCGCTTGCTCACGAAGTCTGCTCCGAGAGCGCTGTCTTCCCATCACGCGATGCGACCGACACTACTGACGACGCGACTTGCAGTATATCTGCGAACGTTTGTAACAAACTATAGGTTAATCGAACAACTCGACAGAGCGAGCAAAGACCGAACTGTACTGCTTGACGTTCAAGCAGCTAATCCTGATGACATTTCGACCGTCGAGGGTGGTTTTATACCTGCGTCGAGTAGCATATTATGAATACAGGGACGGTACAATAAATACTGTGGGTAGCAAAATACTGAAAATGGGTCGGTTGTCTTGTCTCTACGGGCATGAAACGAGACAGCGTTGCCAGTATTCCTGATTTATTTGATTTTCCAGATTTTCAATCGTCTTGCCAGATACTTACCCAGATATAATTCACTTATATGTTATTACGTTTATTTCAAGAATTTTTAATTATGTTCCGGATTTTCCCAGATTTTTTAAATATGTTGCTTTAGAGAATTTCCAGTCCAAAACGAAAACCGGTTGGACATGAGCGTTTCCGAATTCAGTCCAATAGAGGCGATGGGGGCAAGAAGACCATACGGGGCGAGATGGGCCACCGTTCGTTTGGGCATAATACCTATTAACTCAATCTATTTTTTTTACAAACTTGTTGAAAATGCTTCTAATATGCATCTCCATGAAAACCGTATCAAAATTCAATTACATGTCTAAGATAATAATGGAAATGTAACATTAGCTCAAAATCTCTAGAATATTATAAGATATGCAGTCAAGAAAACAAGTATCGCATTCACTATATTACATTTTACTGATCCGCTGGTTCTACAGCGAGCAATACACGTAACTAACACGTAAGTGAAAACCTGTCAAAACCTTAACTTTTACTAGGGTGCTCTAGAGTCGGTGTATAATGAGTCACGCCAAGAGAAAAACAGTTGAACTCGCATCACGGTTTTCGAAAGATTCCCTTTCTTTTCACTTTGCAACAGAGGACTTCTACATCAACTTCAAATGACTTCCAGCGAGAAAAAAATATAGCGGCTTTAGTAAATCATTATATCAGTGATTTAGTCAAATTATCTTAACCAAAAATAGTAGAAATTATCATAAGTGATCATTACCAAACGTATCCCATGACAATTTATTGCTCACTGCGTGTTTATGATCATTTCTTCGATTATATTTTATATTTTATTGCAATACCTTTCGTGGATCTTTCATAGCATCGTAATGTTTGTGTACTTTACGCGATAGGTAGCCGGTTTGACAGTTCAATAGGTAGACTTGGCTTCACTCTTGGCGTGACTCATTATACACCGACTCTAGGGTGCTCATATTGCCCCGTATGGTTGTTGATCGGAGCAAAAACTGAAATTTTTCAAACATAATCATTTATTCAGTCTATCATTCCAAAACCACAACCAAAACAGCCCTTTTCAGGGCCACCAATAATTCGACAAAGAGTTAGTTTTGAAGACAATTTCTATCCAGAATATCACAGTTACACTTAAATTTGGGGACTATACTGGGGTGTGGGAACGCTGGAAGGGGAGATGCTGTCTGTCTTCGAACTACCAACATCATTCCAAAGCTCCTCCAGGGCGACAGAGTAGAGCAAACCCAATAACATCAGCCCAACAAAACGGCCCTTTTCAGGGCCACCAAACTTTCGCAAAAGAGTTATTAAGGAATATTCCTAAAATATAATATACACAATTAAATACAACACATAACAGACGTTATCCAACGCCAACCCTGCGGTCGTATCTAGTATACAACCCTTAAAACTTTTTACTTTTGAAAACCGATTAATTTTCTTCACTGAGGCGAAGTTCAATTTCATTTAAATCGAGAAATCTCAAATCTGGCCATTTATCTATTTCGCGTGGAGCTGCTCTTTGTACATTGTTCCCTTGTACGAATAAATTTTAATGTTAAAATCATTGAACCGTTTGAACACAAATATTTATCCCCTAACCGGTGCTAAGTAAACAGAGCTTCAAGCTTATGTGATGTCTAGTTGTGTAATTTTCACACATCAAATATTTATTTTCCAATCCACATTTAAATGACATGCATGCATCACTTGTTCGGCCTCATTTTACAGGGAACATCAAATTCAGCAGCATCACTATCACCATCAACAGCAACAGCAGCAGCAGCAGCAACAACAGCAGCAGCAACAGCAACATCAGCATCACCATCAGCAACAGCGGGGACAATTGGTGCATCACAAATCCATGTGGGCAATTAATCCGCTCTACGCATCCAGTGGGGGTAAGTAATGAATGAATAATGTGTGGTTACATTATAAATACAATTTTTTTCCGTTCTGAAATGGTCCTGGATTAACCGCACCAAAATTTGCGTGAAACACGATTTTTCATTGATTGCACACATGTTTTCTCTTGTCATTTTCCTTTTCACCCGGAAAATTATACAACCCCTCCCCTCTCCCACCATCAGTGATCAACGACAGCATCGTGGGAAGTGGTGACGGAAATGATGAGGACAGTGGCAACACATCCTACCGGACACGATCACTGCCATCGTGGGGCAAAAACAAGCAACGGCCACTGTCCAACGCGGATGACCTGGAGGAACTGTACGCCAAGGTGGGTGATATGAATCGGAGCGGGGTGTGGGAATTATTTAAACGGTTTAACTCGGTTTCGTTGCACTTCTGGCAGTGATTATCAACGCATGGTTTCGCGGAAATATTGCCATTTAGAGAAATTTCTGAGAGTCTGGAGTGTAGAAGTTGTGCACAACTGAAAGTGGAATTTAATTATTGAATTAATGGCAAGAAGGCAATGTCAATTCTGGCGAAAGCTGCATGCCAAGTAAATTTATAGAATTACTATAAATGTTAAGCAAACCCCACACGCTTCAATACATTGACGTGAAGGGGAATTATTGACAATAATATTGATGATGTGAATTCAGAAATATTGTCAATCTCGATATATTGACGTCAATATAGCATGTATTGACAATACGATTATTGTCAATAAAAGCAATCGTGTAGGGTTCACTTTAGACTTCCTGGACACGCTTGAAGAATGCAAACGAGATACGTCTCTTTAAAAAGTTATCGAAAAATCCCTTTTAACACATTTTTTTTTTTCCCAAATTCACTATCTTAACTGATTACACAGAAACGCCTTGATCAGCGTTACTTGTGTACATGTTTTTCGTTGCACTGGAGCGCATATTTCGTGAGAACATAACGAGAATACAGTTGGTGAATATCGATAATATTCCAGCCCGGTTAGCTACCTTGATGATGCTATAGACGAGTGCACGGATGGATTTGAGTTCACTGACTCGACAAAAAGTGACACAACAGCGGGGCCCTGTTTACTAAAAATGAACACATGAATAATACTCACGTAACATTTGAAACGGGTCTATCAACTTATGTACACAAAACTTGTTAAGCCTTTTTCGCGCGAACCGATACGCTCACGCAAACTAACAACACCATCGGGCAGAGGAAATTCTTCCTTTCCCGATAGTGCTCTTGGTTTGCGTGGTTCTCGTGAAAAGGACCTAGCAAATTATTTACAAAAGTTGATGGGCCCTTTTCAAATGTTACGCGAGCATTATTCATGTGTCCATTTTAGCTCGATTTTTAGTAAACAGGGCCCCGCTATTGTGTCAAACAAATTTCAGTAGATGAACTCAAGAGCAAATTTTCATTACGTCGAATGTAACAAAGGTAAACAAAGTCGAGCTATCAGTGTCAATCGATTCTCCTGCTATTACACTATATACTGTCCGAATATAGGATCACATCCCATTTTTAAATTTATTTACCAGTCAAATTGCTTTTTGACGTAATCACCTTCCGATCAAAATAGTTTTCGATGTTACTTAAGTCATCCGATTTCTATGGAGATGCCGTTTGCCTTAAGTAACAGCACTGAGAAACCCGTGAAAAGTGTATTTTCGTCGTTTCGCTTTCTCATTATTAAAGTGAATAAATCGAACTGTTTGTTGCTAAGATGATTTCGGTGGTCCTAAAATGATGAATGGGCTGCACGTAAGGAGACGTAATTGATAATTCTCCCGAATATCCTGGTAAATACACTTTGACTTAAGTAACAATAGGGGCCACCAAACGACGTATAATAACTTTTGACTCAAAAACCAGTATTTCTTAGCATGAAAGCTAGCGATTTGCCTTTGTATGATTAAAACCCGGCTGAATATGTTAAACATTGCTATCACTATGAGATTATATGTGTTTAATTAGAAATAGGAATAACTTTTCGGTCATCAAAACAAAACTTTATATTTCTCGGATCGGTGCGAATGTTACTTACGACATAATGAAAATTTGCTCTTAACTAAAGTTCACCCGTGCACAGGTCGCAAAATACCCAATAATGACTACAAAGTAAGCATTTTTGAGGGAGACTGGGACTACCAGTCTTGTAAGCGGTCACGGTAGTCGACACATTTTCTGTGATAATTGACTGCCATTGTCTCCGACACTTGCAAAACAAGCTATCATAGTACAGTACCAAACTAAAATGTCGTATGACAGAGCCTGTCATACGTCGCCGAAGACCGTCACGAATGTATGTATTTTAGTTTTTCTCATAATAAGAGCTGCTGATGGTGTGCTTGTGTGAATTCTGAAAATAGCAAGCAATGATGTCCTAGTAATAATATTTCTGATCAGAAATGGTTTGATTTACACCAAATTGAATTACAACGAAATCACACATGTCATATGATAGCTATTTTGATAATTTTCTTTTAGCTCGAATGTTATTCTACCGCTCGTGTTGTGTGAGAGAGCGACGGTAGAGCATGAGTGTTCGAATACAAACAGAATGTCGCGCACGACAACGAAGCGAGTGTAATAAAAAACGTCAACTGTTTCAACCCCTGGGGACTACCCATTAAATGAGTAAAAATATTACCCATTTATGAGTATTTGTTATTCAAAAATGAATACTTACTACTTGTTTTTGTAGTTGTATTTACTCATAAATGGGTAAAATTTTACTCATTTAATGGGTAGTCAAAGCTTCCCTCGAAAATGCTTACTTTGTAGTCATTATTGGGTATTTTGCGGTTACCGTGTAGATGATAGGTTCTAACTCGGATTAACTTTTAATACCGTCCCTGTTTGTATGATCTGAAAAATGTTTGCTCAGAGTTATGTTGATTAACTCTGCTGTCGACATCAAACCAGCCGGACATTCTTGATCGGGATTTAATCCGAGGATAATACCGGTTGGAGCTTACCACCATAAATGTTCTGACTTAGTATTCATCAGCCATACAAATCCAGTGATTAAAAACTTGGCAGTCGATCAGTGGCTTTGTAGTTTTTAAAAAATATTTGCTTTTTGACATTGATGTAAATATGCAAAAATATTCTCAAAAGATTTTAATTATGTTTTATTTGTATTCCAAAAGTCAAAGAGCATCCAATTGCACTTTTCATACGCAAACTTAATTACAATTATTTAAATCTCAAAAATTAAATTTCAACTGCCATCTCAATACTCCTCATGCTTTCCTCGCGAAGCGGCCGTGTTTATTTACATCGCTCGATTGGAACCGCGTTTGACGGTTCGATTGGAACTTTTGGCTTCAGTCTTTGCGCGTCTCTTATTGGGGTTGACGGCACCGTCGAAAAATCGTCTCTTCTAGAAAAGATTGACAGTTTTATATGGGATTTTTCGGTGGAGTGAAAGGATAACAGTACGAAGTCCACCATGTTTCACGCACAGTCTGACGTTTGCTTATGGATTTTACTATAGGAGTAAAGAACTACAGAGTCGCCGTCAACGCCAATTAAACATCGTCTCTGGTGCAGTAGTGTGGGCCGATTAAACGTCAAAAAGCTCTACACGGAGAAAAAATACTACCCAAAATTTGAGTTCTTTATACTTAATTTTGAGTTTAGCCTCTCACTTACTTACCTTACCAATCAGACTAATACCCCGTTCACATTACAGCCTATATCACGTAATATAGGCTGTCTTGCAATGAGCACTCATACATAGGATTTCCAATGAAAACTAGATGTATGAGTGCTCATTGCAAGACAGCGTATATCACGTGATATACGCTGTAATGTGAACGGGGTATAAGGCCTTGTTGTCCTCTGCTGTCCGAAGAAGTCGTCTCCACTCTACTCGATCCATGGCCACACTTCGCCAGCCTCGTAGTCTGCGAAGGGTCGCCTTCTTCTTGTTCGATCCACCTTGCTCGCTGCGCGTCTCTTCTTCTTGTTCCTGTTGGGTCGCTTTCTAGAACCATTTTCACTGGGTCGTCATTCTTACGACGTGCCCAGCCCACCGTAGTTGCCCAATTTTTGCAATGTGGACGATGGATGGTTCTCCCAGCAGCTGGTGCAATTCGTGTTTTTTTTTTCCTTTGGTTTGTTTTCCGTCGATCTTGTTTTCCGTGCTGAGCACCAATGCTACCGACGCGCCCGGAAGGCAGCTCCCACACCTGGACCCTACCTATCGACCCATCAACTCATGAACTGGGGACCAACGGCTTTACTTCCCTTCCGAAGGAAGGCGTGATCAGAGATGTTATGCCTCAGAACATCCCGGCGGTGCCGACTGGGATTGAACCCAGGCCTGCTGGGGTGAGAGGTAATCACGCTTACCACTACACCACCGGCGCCGTTGAAATTTGTGGTTCATTCGCCTCCTCCACGTTCCGTCATCCATCTGCACTCCACCGTAGATGGTACGCAACACCTTCCGTTCGAAAACACCAAGGGCGTGTTGGTCCTCCACGAGCATAGTCCAGGTCTCGTAACCGGTCTAATCAGCGTCTTGTAGACAGTCAACTTCGTGCGGCAGCAAATTTTATTCGACCGGAGCGTCCTCCGGAGTACAAAGTATAGGCACGATTCCCTGCCATAATGCGTCTTTGAATTTCTCTGCTGGTATCATACACGAACTCATCGACCATCTCAATTTCGTCACCGTCAATCTGAGCTATAGGGGGTAGGAGGCTAACATTGTCTTCCCTAGAACCTCTTCCTTTCATGTATTTTGTTTTTGATGCGTTGATGGCAAGTCTAATCCGCCTAGCTTCAGCCTTCAGTCTGATGTACGTTTCCGCCATCGTCTTAAAGTTCCGTGCCATGGTGTCGATGTAATCGGCGAAGCCAAGAAGCTGGATGGACTTCCTGAAGATCGTGCCAGTCGTGTCTATCCCAGCTTTTCTGATCACACCTTCTAACGCGATGTTGAATAGCTCACTTGGTAGTTGATCTACACCAGTTGCTTTGTTGTTCTTTAGCCGATCGATCTCCTCCTCAACTTCTTGAATATTGATGGATTTATACGACAAACCAAATAGATAACGACATATATGCTCGTTACAGCATTAGGTCCTAAGTAACACACGACTATTATCTTCTTTGACGTTCTCTTTACATCCTCACGGCCATATTAAGACGTTCCCAGCTAATTTCAGACCACAGATCGATGAAAAAAGCTATCATCTAGCATTTCGTACGACAAACACGATAAGAAACGGTTCAGTACCCAAGTTATTAACGAAAGAGAATCGATCAATGTTACTTAGGACCTAATGCATTATTCAGCTTTATTTGGGAATCACAAAATGTGATGGCAACTCACAAATTTTGGCGACTCACGATCAGCTGCGGACGATCATCACGACGTGATGAGCAAACGTCAGACTTTGCGTGAAACATGGCGGACTTTGTACTATCCTTTCACTCCACCGAAAATTCCCATAAGAAATTGTTTATATTTGCTGGAAGAGCAATTTTTTCGACGGTGCCGTAAACGCCAATTGGGTGCCAGAAGCGAGCACTCGGGCTGCCTCGGTTCAGGGTGGAGGAAGTGCGCCACCAACCGGAAGGTGCACACCAGCTCGCTTCCGGAAGCACCATTCAGCGTCACGGAGTTGATGCGTTGCTGCGAAATAAGCACGTGCTGGTTCAAATGGTAACCAAGGTCCGTTCGATCATAGACGAAGTGAATGCCCGAACGGATTCGATTCTGAACAACCAGACCATATTACATTATTGAAAATGTCTCGTCATGTCATGCCTATGGCTTCAAACCATAGTTCATTATACGAACTTCAGGAACATTATGAAAGCTCACTTTTTATTGGTCAAAGTGCAGAAAATTTTCTTCAATCATGGCCATCTTGGTCTTTGCCATAATAGTAATCGTCACAAGGGGTACACGGTAAGAAAAAAGTACCCAACAGCCAGTTCACTTTTACCTACTTTTGCCTAGTTTGTCTCCTTTTCTCCTTCTAATGTTGTCAAAAACGGAGAAGCAAAACCACTCAACAGGGGGTAGTAAAGTGTGGGAACCCAACGTTGAGTATAATCATAGTTACCTACTGTTGGGTACAACTAACTTACTTATGGTTAAAAAGCCAGTGGAAAATTCCATACGAACTGCACACAAGTAAATGAAAATTACTTTGAACCGCTTTACCTACTTTTGGGTTCCTGCACTATTGTGCCGAGATGAGTGAAAAGAACTTAATTTTGGGTACTTTTTTCTAACCGTGTAGATCACTCCGCACACCAATATTGGGTCATCTTTTTTGTCAATTTTCCGCAAGTTTGCCGATTGTGCCGGTCATAGAGCAAGCTGCGAATGTTTGTAAAATACCCATACCGGCAACCCGGTATTTCTGACACCTTGAATGTTTCTGGTTTGAAATCGCAACGATAAATCGGATTGAGCGGGAAGTGGCGGGTGTGCGATTTTTTTTTGTTTTCTGTTCATATGATAATAAAAGTCCGGTGTTTTAGGGTTTTATAATGCCCTCAAAGGCAAACCAGAAGCCTAGCTTTTCGTGATGTGTAAAGCAACGGTCTATCAGCGGCCGGAAAAAAAAATTGAACCGGTGGGAAACATTGTTGGAGACCCACTATAGAGGATGATGAGTAGACTTCTGTAGTTTGTTTTGTGTGAGTTGCAGCATTATTTGAATTAACGGTACTAATGGGGTCTGATTAACTGCCTCTTTCTTTTGAGCCCACTCTAGAACCTACATTTCGTATTTAGATCTATAAGTGAACCGCTGCGCTTGTCTGAATTCCTCTGGTATATTCATTTAGAGGATGTTCCTGAATATACAGTCAAACCACTGACAAACAGACGTAACTCTTCATTGTGTATCTTCGTTCACGCATTTAACGGTTGATTTGAATATTATCAGTTTCGCGAACTACTCGCCGCAGCGCTGGCATCGGATCACTTTGACGTTTCTATCCATTCTATAGAACTTTCATGCAATATTGTTTGCGAGTTAGGGAGCAAGCTTGTTTTCCGCGAGAAGCCTGAGAGATGTCGCTACTGAGGTCCTATGTTTGGAGATACTATGTTTTCAAGAAAAACTTTTTCAAAGAGTTACGTCTGTTTGTCTGTCGTCAAACAGCACGTAATGTTGTGATCAACTTCAATGGCAGTTGTCCAGCAGTGCTTCCCTTTTATTTACAACAATCCGATGCCTACGAGATTGTGCCGAAGGTATGCCGATAGATGTGCCCAAACTGTCCCGAATCTAATTTCGGCACAATGTGCTGAGTGACTTACCCCTTGAATCGTCATATGTTAGAAATAGGTGATTCAAATTTTATGGCACTCGAACGAGGCGTGTCCTGGCTTTCTAGAAAGGATCTAGCAAAGGCATTGATTGTTTGCAAAAGCTGTTAGGCCTTTTTCCAATTCTGCTTTGATTTATTTTCGTTCCAGATTCTTGAACATTTCTTCAAGTGATTTTATTAGGTCCATCATTTAAAAAAATAGTTTTAGCTGTAGAATGTTCCAGAACCTGAAAAAATACAATCAAGCATAAGAATTTATTTTGATATTGAATATAAATGCACTCCCGTGTTCGAAGAGTAGAAGTAACCAACGAGGAAAATAAAGTTGGTTGTATTATAAAATATTTTAAGATTACTGAGAATGTTCTCAGTACATCAATATACCACAGACAAAAATATACTATATACTTAAACATGTGCTTGATATAGGAATTGAGAACCTGAGAATTCCACATTTTCCCAGGTAAAATAAAATTCCCTGAAGTTTCCAGGTTTTCCATGGGATTTTTCAGGTAGTAAACACCCTGCGAACTGTGCAGATACCATATGATGAAAAGTGAGCCATTAGGTTTACTGGTATTCTGCCTAATAATCTATCATCTTTCAAACTAACGAACAATTGAACTTTTCCAGGTGAATTTCAGCAAAAAGCGCCGCAACCGGATGCGGAACGACGAAGCGGCCATCATTGCCCTGTGCCGATCGCGGTCGCAGAATCTCTCGGCTCTTCCGCTTGCAGACCAGGACGCGGTCGTAATTTACGACGAACGGACGGCTCTATAGACCGAAGAAAACAATACCACACGAGGACGAGGCCGACACCGGGCATCGAGTTTTAAGGTAAACCTACTATGACGGTAAGCGGTAGAAACGAATACGTTTTTCTTTTGGTGTAGACATGTTGGATCTACAGCGGCTTTTTAGCGAAAAGAGAAACTTAAACTAATAATCATTAAATTACTAAACATTAGCATTCGCAGAAAGCTCATCACAGCAGAACTTAGTTTCTTCTTACACCAGGTTCAGGTAATGGGTATGACTGGTAAAAACAGTTTTTACCAGTTATCTACGTACCATGCAGTGACTTATGTGAAGAACGAAACCCGTTTTATAGGCATACTTTTTGTGCGATCGGATATTGCAAACATTATTACGCAAATTATTTAGGAAAATTGATCATTGTTGGCGTTTGTTCCCTTGGCAAAAAAAAAACGTAATCGAGCTCTTATTATTGAAACAAAACTTCTTTAAAAACGAAAAAAAAATCATATTTTTGCAACTGTAGGAAATATTCTCCTAACAAAACACAAAACTCAAGCTTAAACGTTAGTCGTTAAAAATCAACCTTTGACGAAATAAAAAAAAACCCCCCTAAAGCAAATATCATCCAATCGAGAGAATGTAAATATTGTTATTTATACAAGAAATTGACATATTTCGACTATTGAACTAAGTAAAACATAACGTTTACAAAGACTGATAGATTTCCCCATTATAGAAAAGAGAAACCAAACTAGTATTACTATTCCATCGAGACAAAATCGGAAACCGGACAAACCGAAAACTGTGGGTGAACTAAACGAACTAGGAAAATGCGACGACATCCCCATTTTTACAAACAAATTGTATCTTTAAACTTTTAAATAACCCAACCTAGTACTGCTCACACTGAAGGAAAAAAATCGATCTATTTAAGCCTAAACCCATATATATATACATCATTTCCTCGATAGTTCCAGACGATCTTTCGGTGTTCGTAAAACTGGCCGCATTCAATTCGGACTCTATACCTACGCGTTCTTCCTAGAGGAACGCGAGCGTGCAATGTATAAACGTTTTTAGTCAAATCCGGCGAAATTTGAACGTCATTTCAATTAGTGCGATATATGTAGTAAAATTGGCAACGGTGTACTAAGGGAGGCAAAACAAAGATTGTTCGTTCCTTTCGGCCATATTAGTTGAATTAGGTACTAGATTTAGGCGACTATGTAGTCAAAGCGGTATCTCTCGTTAAGCGGTGTGGAAGTCATAAAATGATTCAACAACTTCTATTTGGAAACAATCAGCAGTGCAGGATTGGGACGGTTTAAGTTTGCTGGCAACAAAGACGAGTTAAACAAACAGATTGTTGGATAAGCTTTTAAGCTTTGCTTTAGGTACAGACAGTTGGGATCAGCCTAGAAGGTGATGAGAAAGGCAGCACGCAGTACAGGAAACGAAATGACCGGATTGTTTATAGTGAAACAGATTTGGAAAAAGAGAAACTATGAAAGATGAAATAAAAGACAAGTGAATTGACGATGGGCAAGTTTATGATTTCTTAAACATTCCGAAACAGTTCTAGCATTCGTACTCCCTAATAAAATTTATATCATTCGGGTTATCGTTCGGGTCTGGTATTTTTGTAAAGCCCGATTCAAAGTAAATTTGGATGCATTCAAGTGCTCATAACTCAAGAGTTAAACAACATACACGGTTGATCAAAACGTCAAACAAAAGGGTATTTATTCAGCTTTCAAACGATATATAACAAGTTATTACATTTCACCGTTTCGAACGAACTGTCGCACTTTACTTGTGATCGATGCCATCATGATCTGCACAGTCGCTGTTGACACTGTACCGGCGAACTTATTCCACTTTAAACGCATTTGTTGTGCATTTGTCACTTCTTTGCCGCATCCTCGAAGTTTTCGCTTGACAATTGCCCAATATTTTTCGATCGGTATGAACTCAGGGCAATTCGGAGGATTAATCTCTTTGGCGACGAAATTAACATTGTTTGCAGCATACCATTCTAGTACCTCCTTAGAGTAGTGGCAGCTGGCTAGATCTGACCAAAACATAACGTTGGTCTTGTGTTGCCGAATGAAGGGTAAAATCCGCTTTTTCAGACACTCTTTAATGTAAACCTTCGACGTCATTGTGTGCGATGTGATGAAAACCTTGGTTTTAAGGCCACAACTGCAGATTCCTTGCCAAATCATTAGTTTCCGAACAAACTTATCAGCAAAACAAATTTATACCTGGAAGGGACATCCCCACGACCAATTGCAGGTAAAATTTTCGTCCGGGGATTTGTTTATAATCCATTTTGACATATGTTTCGTCATCCATTAAAATACAGCCATCAAATTTCGTCAAAACTCGTTCGTATAGTAATCGTGCTCGCTTTTTGGCCACTATATTTTGTTTCAGGGAGCGATTCGGATGTTTACTGGCACAAAAAGACTTATATCCTTCTCTTGAAAGGATGTTACGCACGGTGGAAAAGTTGGAATCGTATTTCTTTGCCAAATCACACCTGGGTTGCTTTTCACGTACCTCAACACCTTTCTCCTCAGCTTTTATGATAGATGCGCAGTGTTCTATCCACACTCAGAGTATCCTTGTAACACTTTATTACAAGACTCACCGTTGACTTTGGAAATTTTAACACTTTTGCTAATTTTGAGGCAGACCACGAAGGGTTCTCTAGATGTTTGTGCACAATTAATTTTCTTTTCTCAAGTTCCATGATCCGTTATTTCGGGATGCATCGATTCTTCGTCAATGAAACATCAACAAATGCCTGTCAAACGTTTTTTGTTCCAACCACCAGGAGCGCGGTGGTGTATTAAACCGTGCGTCCAGATTTACTTTGAATCGAGCTTCATTAGGGCTGCTATCGCTATAATGGATCATTTTAGATGGCTGAGTTTTGAACCCACCACAGCTTTCATTTGGCGCTACTGTATACGGACGAACCAATGTAAAATACTGTGGTAGCCACAGTACGGTGCTGTCAAAACCTCAGCATCTTCAATGATCCATTATGTTATGGTTTGCTCTTTCTCGTCCTGTTTTTGTTCATCATCCTGTTGTTTCTTTGCTGACTACTTGGTTCCATCAAAGATGAATGCTTCCGTAGATTGAATGCATACGAAACACTTGTTTGTTACCCGTCATAACATTTGTTCCCCTTTCCGATAGGGGAAATTCTCGTTTTCACGTCCACATATACGCCTCGCATAGTTGTGTACATGTCGAGGTCAAGCTCTGCATGGAATTTCCCATGGATGACAAGTTTAACTTTCCCGCATTCCCCCAGCATCAGCGCTAGATCGCGGTAAGGAACCTCGGCCATTAAGAAGGCACAACATTATCACCATATAGGTAATTCTAAGACCAGAATGTCCCGAAGAAACGTGTTCAACTTTTTGGCTCAGCTCTGGTACTTACTTACTTAACGATCCTGCGCACTTCCAGGGGTGCAAAGGGCCTTTGTGAAAGATTTCCATCCTGGGCGATTACTAGCTTTGGCCTTGACCTGTGCCCAAGTCATATTTCGGTCAACGTTCTTAAGGGGGATTTCCGGTTCAATTGACCTAAACTTTGGATTTTTTCCAGGGAACTGGTAAGAGTTAGAGACCTGAGTTTTTTGTCAAATCTTTATTCATTCTTGCTCTACAACTGGGAATTTTTTTCAGTTTTGGGAAGTACCCGCCGGGCAGCCGCCATATTGGACGCCATTTTGGATTTTTGGACTTGAAAAAATTCCCAGTTGTAGAGCAAGAATGAATAAAGATTTGACAAAAAACTAAGGTCTCTAACTCTTACCAGTTCCCTGAAAAAAAATCCAAAGTTTAGGTCAATTGAACCGGAAATCCCCCTTAATTTCACTGTTTAGGCTCCGCCGCCACGAGCCTCTGGGTCTACCTCTGCTGCGATGTCCTGCTGGATTCCAGTCCAGTGCTTGCTTGCAGATTTCGTTTCCGCTCCGTCGTAGTGTGTGGCGGACCCACCTCCACTTCCGTTCACGAATTTCAGTCTCTATCGGCTTCTGATGGCACAAACGCTGAAGCTCGAAGTTTGAGATCCAATTGTGGGGCCACCAGGCACGAATTATGTACCGCAGGCATCGGTTGATAAACACCTGCAGCTTCTGAGTGTTCTCCGCTGATACACACCATGTTTCACTGGCACAGACTTCACATTCGAGTTAAAAATACATTTCGCAAACTGGTAAAAGCAGCCCTCGCCTTCTTAATCCGTGCACCTATGTCGGTCTTGGTGCCCCCGTCCGACGCTATCTGGCTGCCAAGATATTGGAAGCTTTCGACTTTCTCCACTGCCTGCCCAACTACCGTGAAATTGGAACGGTTTTCCGTGTTGACATCCAACGATTTGGTCTTGTTGACGTTGATGGTTAGACCTGCTTCAGAAGAGGTCGTCGAGCTTACTCTGCATGTCAGAGCGCCGTTGTGCTAATAACGCAACATCATCAGCCAAATCGAAGTCGTTGAGATGCTCCATGGTAATAGCATAGAGGTAACTCTAAGACCACTGGGTCCCGAAGAAAATCATTATTATTTTTGGCTCACTCAGTACCAGAACAACGGTCCCAAGCAGTCCCAAGCTATTTCACTCACCCCTGCATGTTCTGCATGAATCCACACACCCCTGATGTTATCTGTCAAACTTTCATAGCGAATCAAAACAAACATAGTGTAGTAATAGAATTTCAACTAGAATAGGGTACGTTAATCGTTTGCTTGGGACCAATAGGCTACTAAAGTGGTGAGCCAATTTAAAATCGTTAGTTTCGTATTGATTGTTGCTTTTACCAAGACGCCCTGCATCCAGTCGGCCGGAAAAGTCGCGGTGTCCCAAATATTGACGAATAGTTGATGCAACATTTGTGAGAATATCATGGGGTCAGCTTTGAGCATCTCTGCTGATATGCGATCGATCCCCGGGGCTTTGTTGGACTTCATACATCGGATGGCTGCTTCTATCTCCTGCAATGATGGAGCTTCAGTGTTAACGCGAGTAGCGCGCCTCACCCTTGGCGGATCATGCCGAGATGTTGATCGTTGGTTGACCGTTGAAACTTCGAGAAGTTGTTCAAAGTGCTCAAACCAACGTTCAACAACTGGTCAGTGGGGTCGGTGAACAATTGTCCAGTCGCGTCTTTCACAGGCATCCTTGGGTTCATCCTTGCCCCGCTCAGGCGTCGTGCGTTGTTCAGCGTTGCTGCGACTTTCTCCCCTTCATCAGCCAGGGAGACCACCCACGCTCGTTTGTCCCGTATACAGGAACGCTTAACTTCCCTCTCTAGAGCCGAATACCGCTGACGGGCCTCGTTCTTGGCTCCTCGGGTCCTTGTTTCATCGGTGATCCACTCCTTCCTGTGAGTGCGCAGCTCACCCAGGTTGTTCTCGCTTGTTTCAATAAACGCATTCTTGATGCTCGTCCACTGTTCTTCTACGCTGCCACCTTCCGGAATATTAGCTGCGCGAGCCTCGAGTTCTTCGACGAACGATCTCTTCACTGCTGGGTCTTCCAGTCGGCGTGTGTTGAATCGCCGCCCGAGTCAGACGCAATGTCAGCGCTGCGTTTATTCCGAACATCAAGAAGGCTCCGTCTCCATTTTCGGCTGATGCAGATGTGGTCGATTTGGTTCTCTGTATATCCATCACGGGAGACCCATGTGACTTTATGCACTGGGCGATGGGGGGAGAGCGAACCCACGATCACCAAGTCGTTGTGGTCACAAAACTCTGCAAGCAGCTTGCCGTTCTCGCTCATATCTCCGAGACCATGGCGTCCCATAGTCCGAGTTGTCGGAGCCGATCTTCTCATTGAAGTCGCCTGTGTAGATCTTGATATCACTTCTTGAAGTCTTACCCACGACAGCATTCAGTTGACTGTAAAAGTTCTCTTTGTCCTGCAACTCGGCAGCATCGGTTGGCGCATAACATTGGATTATGGTAAGGTTTCGGACCCGTGTTCTGAATCCGGCAACGATTATTCTCTTATTGATAGGTTCCCACTTGATGAGCGCAGTCTGTGCTTGGGCGCTAAGCAGAAAGCCAACCAGAATATAAAAGTACCTGTCCCGAAGGCAGCTTGTGTTCTCCAAAGTTCGGCCAGCGGACTTCACTAAGTCCCAGGATTTCTAGTTTCATACGGTGGGCCTCACTAGCGAGTTGTGCCAGTTTACCCATGTTCCAATTCTTGTCCGTTGTTTACCGCTAAAAGTCGTTGCCATAAAATCAGTTCGTAATCTTTCACTATAGGTTTCTGTAACAATTTGAAGGTTTCGGAGACAGTAGGTGGTTGGCCTAAGGTCTCCTATCCGCCGTGATGAGACTGCCATCTTGGGTATAGCTTTCGGGGAGAAGCCTTTCGTATTCAGCCGCTGGATGCCAGTCAGACGCTGTTTGAGCCGCCCCTAACATGGAGAACAGACGCTCGGGTTTTGTAAGCCACATCCTCCGAAAAGGATGCAGCTCCCTCTTCCCTGTCAGCATACGACCAAAGTTCCCCGGGGTTGGTTACCCGATTTTCCCCGAGTGGGGTGACACATCTTAATTTCAAGTTTAGATGCTCAACAAATCTGACACTAGCGAATCAATCTTCGAAAAATCTTCTTTTATTTGTCGCATTACTTGCATCGCGCATCATCTTTTTGCAGGAAATCTTCAGAATCGTCATCAATCTTCTTTCTATGTACTCAGCGTGCTCGCAGCTAGCCACAACAAAACACAATCTGTCTGCATCGTAGATAGAGTCGTCCCCCTCGATTTTCCCTAAGGTTACTCGTACCCCAGCAGGCACCGGGAGGTGGAAGGGATAGGAGTTACTGGAACACTCAAATCGGGTTCTTTAATGGTATTGAGGAAAATGCATATTCGTAATCTGCATTAAAAATAGAACCCAAATCTAAAATTTTATCAATTAACTATTTTAAATAAGTACGGTTACATTTGCAAAAAAACACCTTAGGGCTTTTCGGCACTTTGCATGGGAGCGAGCTGTCAGTTTGTTAGTTTAGTGTCAGACAGTGAAGTAATTCATTTTTTTTTAAATATTGATTTAAAAATCGAGATGAAAGTGCAAGTGTTTTCGAAAAAAATATCGCTGAGCTCAGAAAACGAAGCTCTTTCAGATGATGTATAAAAACCGATACATTTTTAAAAATTAAAGAACCCAATTATCAAATGACTGATATTTTTCATGTGGGTAAAACACATATAGGGGAATTTACATATTCTCGGCAACCTAAGCAGCGACCTTCATTCTATAGCCTTTTTCTCTAAGGAACGCACACATATGCAGTATTGGTTTGTTTACAATCTATTGCTGCCAGCTGCTCTAACAATTTCAGTCGAAAGAATTGTCAAAAACTGTTTTGAAACGCTTTTACAAAGCTCTAATCTTCTCTAGTGAGAGCGAGTATTGTCGGCAACCAGTTTTTCTTCGGCAACCGTTCCATTTGAACTGCATGTAAATCTGCTGTTCTATTATCGGCAACTCGAAATCAGCTACAATTTGTAGTGCGTGTGTTTCATTTCAAGAAAACCTTGCTAGATTGCTTTTTCTCAGTGGTAAAAATATAGTCAAATTGAAGCTGAAAGCATAAAGAATCGTTTGCATGAATTCAGCGAAGTGTTTTCGTAAGAAAATCCAGTGAAAATAGTGTTTCAATTTGGGTTGCCGAAAATAGTCTGGCATGCCGAAGCCGTCATTTCCCCTAGTAGATTGTAAGCAGAAACATACCTTTCTATTTTAAGTGCGTATAATAAAAAGTATGTGCGGTACTTTTAATGCGTAGATTGAATTCAAAATTCAAGTGCACCGATATGGAATTCAATACGTCCTGCATCAGAAGCGAAAACATTAAATCTGCCGGAGTGAAAAATGGCGCTAGCTGAAGATACAAATTCGCTTGCGGACGTAGTTTTGGAGAAACTCAATTTGCCGGTCGAACTACTCGAGCTGTTCACAGGTAATTAGTAATTGATTTATGTGTTGTATTCAATAATACATATTTTGCTGCTTGCAGAATGTTAGTGTGGACACATGGATTTAGTCCTCTCTCCGAAAATGTATGGAGAAAACAAGAATTTGGAATGGTAATGGTTCTTAACAACCCATTATTTGTAAGGTTCACTTCCAAAAAACCATAATTCATAAGGTTAAAACTTTATCACACAAATGTTCAAGTAAAGTTCCATAACCTTTTCAGGTAAAGTTAAGCAGGTATTATAAACAATTTTTGGTAAGGTCAAGTAATGGTTCGCATTTATGCGGGTAGTCTGTACGGGGTATCAAGAGTCTGATGACTGCAAATAAGCCGTTTCATTCGAGCAGTTAAAATGACGTTTACTACCACTCAAACTTTGAAATAAAACATTATTTTGAGACTTTTTCTTCTAGAACCACGAGAAAAGTAGCCAAAATTTGTGCGTTTCATAAAGAAATATGAATTAGTTGTTCCAGTTTTGTGAAATCGCTGGTAGAAACTCACACCAGAACTGCTTGACAAAGTGGTAAATTATAGAATATGTCTGACTTCGTTTAGTTCAGTTCAAAACATGTCCATAGTGTGTATTGATTTTGCACTGGGGAGGCACAATTAAAAAGATTAATCATCAATGATCATGGTTGCCTGTGTGCGCTGTCGATGACTCTCACGTTGTAGTCAATGAGGATATACAGGTGTAGCAATGAGCTGTACCTCATTGCAGGTGTAGCACAAGAGGGTGTTTGTTGGTTTAGTAGCAAAAAAAAAGATGTAAACAATCGGTGATGACGAAAAACTCCTAAAAAAATGGGCATGAAAAAAGTTGAGTTTGACGTCACGGAAGGTATACTTCACAAACACTATAACATATTTTGCACTACATACGATCATTTCCACACCTGCATACAGCTCATTGCGTTTTGGCATCTCATGTGGAGTGAAAGGACAAGAATGTGTATGTTTTCTCTCCTTCTGTTCAACTAACTTCGATCCTGTCACGCGTGTAGTTTCTCGCGGTTCGCGAATTTCGAGACCTCTACCAATCCATCGCCGAGCCGGTTGTAAGACGCTGCATCCCGCAGGACGTTCCGCACGCATGTTATGTTGACAACGGCCAGCATAGCTCGTCTTCGTGTTGTGACCTCCCAAGTGCTACAACATCTACCCGCTCCATTCCCAACGCAATCACGAAATCTGACGACTGCTGCAGAAATGGCCTCTGAGGAAACGAATCCCGGCCCAGCGCTCCGCTACCGAGTGGAGGCCAAGTGTTCCACCACAAAAGCGCGCGTCGGATTGATGAGTCTGAGGCACAGCGACGTCGACACGCCGGTGTTCATGCCGGTCGGAACGCAGGTTAGTCGGAAGATTCTCATAGTTCACAGTTGGAAATTATTGAACGGTTTGATTTTAGGGAACTCTGAAAGGGCTACTTCCGGATCAGATCCTTTCACTTGGGTGCCAGATAATGCTGGGAAACACCTACCACCTCGGTATGCGTCCAGGGGCTGAGCTGTTAAAGAAAGTGGGTGGGTTGCACCAGTTCATGGGTTGGCCGAATGCGTTGCTGACCGATTCCGGTGGGTTCCAAATGGTTTCGCTTCTCCAGCTGGCCGAGATAACCGAAGAGGGAGTGAAATTTGAATCGCCGTACGACAAAAGTGAATGCATGCTGACACCGGAACGCTCGATGGAGATTCAGAACGCGATCGGCGCGGATATCATGATGCAGTTGGACGACGTGGTGAAAACTACGGTCACTGGGCCAAGGGTGGAAGAAGCGATGCATAGGACCATTCGTTGGCTGGATCGCAGTATTTCCGCTCATGCCAGGGATGACGAGCAGAGTATTTTCCCAATTGTCCAAGGAGGATTGCAACCGGAACTGCGGAAGGTTTGTACGGCGGAACTGAATAAACGAAATACCCGGGGATACGCCGTGGGAGGATTGAGTGGAGGTGAAAGCAAGGATGACTTCTGGAAGACGGTGCATCTATGCACGGATTTGTTACCGGAAAATAAGCCACGGTATTTGATGGGCGTTGGATTTGCAGCGGACTTAGTAGTTTGTGTTGCACTAGGAATTGATATGTTCGATTGCGTGTATCCGACGAGAACTGCACGATTTGGATGCGCCCTGACGCGACAAGGACAGCTGAATCTTAAGCAACAACGCTTCAAAACCGACATGCGACCAATCGATGAGACTTGTGATTGTTCGACCTGTAAAACCTATAACAGATCATATCTGCACCACATAGTAACGGTGGAACCGGTGGCCTGCAGTATCATTAGCATCCATAATGTAGCATTCCAGGTAAATTGAAATTTGATTGACAAACCCAATCATTGTGCTGATCATATTTTACAGCTTAAACTGATGAACGAAATGCGAGAAAATATCAAAGCCGACACATTCCCAGCGTTTGTCAAATCCTACATGAAGGAACAATTTCCCGATGGTAAAGTTCCACAATGGATTGTGGACGCTTTGGCTGCCGTAAGCGTTCAGGTTTAATACAATTAAGGATATTCGGATCTATTCAACAATCGCGCTAGTCGTCTTACAGTGAAAACGATTACAATAATTTATTCTGCTTACCGCATACTTGCTTCCTTCCTTACATGAACTCATCCGAATCGTTCCCTGCATCATAGTTGCTGGTCATGTTCTCCCACTTCATCAGCGAATTGTAGCTTCTGATGTCGGCTTCTTCCTGCCGTCGCTTCTCGTCGTCCTTTTCTTTCTCGCGATTTTCCCGTGCAAGACGCTTCTTGTCCGCTCGTTCATCGGCGTCCCGCTTTTCCCGCTCCGCCCGGAAGTCCGGATGTTCCTCACGCTTAGTTCTATTCAATCGGTTTACAATATCGTTGACACGTTTCTCGACGCGCATTTTCCGCACCTCCTTGTCCTTGTAGAACGAAACCTGACCAACTTCCATGGCCGGAGTCTTCTTGAGATTCTCCCACATGGTGTAGACGATGTCGATGTTGTTCATCTTGTTGCCATTAATACTGTTGGCCTTGACCAGCTGGCAGGCATCCTCGAGCACCGCCAACGGAATGTTGTCCAGTGTTTGTCCCTAAGACACACGAATCAACGGAACCGTCCATAAACCCTCCTTCAGGAAGGAAACAAAATGCTACTTACCGGGGCCAAGCGGAGGTACACGTGCGCTGAGGACACTTTGTCCACATGGAACCAAACGTCTTCCGGCCAGCCCCATTTGATTAGATCTTCATCTGTAATCGAATGTTCAATCTAACCTTTCCTGCTCTGCAATGATCGTCAATATGATACTTACTTTCGTACTTATCAAGCCCCATGAAGAGGGTCACCGGCGGTTGGACGACATCACTCTCGAAGTAGAATACCATTTTTTAATTTCGCTCAATTCGCACAGTATTTGCCTCGATTTAGCCGTTCAAAATCCAATATTGTTGTTGTTTGCTTCAGGAAAAGGCGACTTTTTCCAAGAAAATTTTGAGTTTGTCAGCCACTAACCTTCACACATGTCAAAATTTGGGAACGGATGATTTTTTTTTTGTTTTCCTTTCGACTATGCGTCAGTCCGCAGGTCACTCACACAAACGAAATGAGATAAATGTCAAAATCTTGCCAGGGATGAATCTTGGGATGAATGTGTCGTGCTCAAGATTTATTAAAGGGTATGAACCGTAAGGATTTCAGTCAGGGGGAAAGACACTCATTCTGTTGCATTTCTCGATGAACATTTCAAAATATGGTCCTATCTGCTTTGATCGATTCTCTTCATCGACTTTCTCTTTCGTCAATAACTCAGCTGCAAAACCTTTCCCTGTTGTATTTGACGTTTTGGACGCTAGATAAGAACCTCCTTTATCAAACTATGTGGTAGAATTAACGCGAAATCTGTTTGCATAGCAGTGGTTATGAAAAGAGAAAGTCGATTAAGAGAATCGATCAAAGCAGATAGGACCATTTGAAATGTTCATCGAGATTTTATTGTACCATGCTTGCCTGTAAAAATAATGTAATTGAAAAGAGTTTTTTGAGTTGTTCTAGCTCGCTATTCTAATATCTATATGCAATCTTTACACTGCCGTACTCTAACGGAACTATCAACTATATGCTTTCATCTACTCCATCTATCGTATAAAAATTACTACTACAGTCTGTTATTTGAAATTAGCATCTTCAACTATGTAATCTCGTTTGTTTCTTACCGGATCTAAATCCATGAATGTTGTTAGTGTAAATTGTTCATTCTCAAGCGATAATGGTAAGTAAAAAGTTAAATTAGAATCTAATTGTGCGGTAAAGAGCTCGAAAAAAAAAATCGTTCCCATATTCGTGAACGGCAGCCGTGCACCATAGATCACCGACCACGCGTAGAAATAAATGTACATTGTGAACTAGTTCACGGCTCTCGTTCATGAATATGGAAACGGATTTTATTGCGGGAAGGAATTGGATCAAAAACCCAAAATGGCTCCCATGCGCTATCAAGACGAGCTCATAGTAATTTATTACAATGACGAATAAGAGAATCATACTTTTGATCGGTCGAAATAGCTTGGAGAAGGTAAGTAATTGATACACATATACAATTTAATTAATCCTTATAAGGATGAATTCTTGGCAGCGTTGAGCAAAGATACCGGAACGGTACCTGAAGGTACGAACGGTTCTCGAGTATACGGAATACGTGAATACAGCGCTGGGAGAGTTAAGAATAAATGAAATCGCTGAAATTGAATCAGACATACGCCGGGTTTCATTCTCAACCGCTCCGCCGAATCTTCAAAAATGCTTTACAAAGTTCGGAAACGACCCTGCTGAGTTTCGGTTTTTGGCTGGAGAGCGAGCTATCCTAAAACTGATGGCAGCTGCAGTTAAGCGTCGAGGATTTAACCATTATTTTAAACGAACTAAACCCGTGGGCATGAGACAGAACACTGTCGAAAATGTCTCTGGATCCAACGTAGATGAAGAGGACCTGTACAACAAAATAACAGGATATTATCAGAAGAGGTTTGTAGCATATTATAACAGAACAGAATAGAATACTATGATCAGGGCTCTACAATTTTGAAGCTCTAAAATGAACTCGTGTTTTGTTTCTCTCGTACATACGTATTCGACGCTTCATTTCTATAACGCCTAGCTAGACTATCAGCAAGAAACGAAAATAAAAAATCAGGACGCTTAGAAGGAAAGGCTGGCTGTGGAACTTCTCGTCGTTGCTTTGCTCATCGCTTTCAATGTAACTAACGTCGATTTTCTAGTTAAACGAAACCTTATTATAGCTTTCAATCGCCTTTCACGAACACTCTATCATCGCTCTTTCAATTTGTTTAAAATGCGTTATGTCCCGTTTTCGATCATTTTTTTTTAGATAAATATATGGATGGAAGATAAATTAAAAATATGACGTGTAATCTTCAAGTGTTTTGACGTAAGAAATGCTTTAAATGTGTTATTTCATTTTCCGTCATATACGTCATGAAACCTCTGTTGATGTGTTTCATGAAAGAGAAAACTATCAAAGCCGAGCGCTCTTTCGCTCATCCGTTTCGACGAAGCTTGAAAGGAAGACCAATGGAGCGATGGGAGAAAGAGAGACAAGCGATTGAACATTTATTTGTGCACGCCGACTGAGGTTCTAGAATGCTGCGAAGCTGTTCGACTTTAACAGAAAAAGAAAGCCAGCAGTCTCTTCGTCGCATCGATTTGGTCGATTGAAGCTGATGTTGTGACGCCCTGACTATGATACAGAATAAAAAAATGTCTTACAGATTTAATGGATCTTCGGAACAAGCTGTGCTGCTTGAAGCTATAAGCAAACTCCGCGTTACAGTGTGTAACGAAGATGGCATCCGGATTGCGAAAATTCAATGTTTTTTCTGTATGCCAAAACAAAATTGTATCAAGTGCTACCAGGAAAGATTAGGACACTGGAAGATTTCGAACGTTGTGGCACATCTGAAAAATGTACACAATTGCAATTTCAACTCTCCAGGTCAAAGTCAAAAGCGCCCGATTGGAATGATATTGGAAAGAACACCAACGAACCTAAACACAAGCATCATGGGTGACGTCAGCTACAAACATGACGGCTCAGTATAAGAATTAGATGTATTTGCTGACTCAAACGCTAATATCCCAAAACGTGGCTGTTTGGACACTGAACTCGACCCTACATTAGAGTTAGCAACGAACGAATCGAATTTGAGCGAAGAAGTTCTTGAAGAATATGAGACTGTACTGTTTGAGCAGTTCGAAGATGCTTCTATGCAGAAATTGGTATGATCTGATTAAGTCACCTCCTCCTCTTGAATGTATTCTCTTCTCGATTACTATTTTAAAAACTTGTTTTTAACTTTTAGCTTCTGAATGGATCATTCGGCGATCAACAGCTTGAAGATGAAAATTTCAAACAATATATGGTAAGATCTCTGTGATTCATCATTATTTTATAAATTGAATTTATAGCTTTAGCACGAGCAACCAATGACACACTCGACCGAGATCGAAAATAATCACCAGTCGCAACTCTATAACCAGGAAGATACTGACCCACTATATCACCAACAGCAACAGGAACAGCAGTCATACAACGAAGCAGACCAAGCTGAGCAAATGGTTGGCAACTTCAACGAAGATGACATTATTGAGAAAGATTTAAACATCTAGGGTGCTACGATGAGGCCAACCATAGCACCACAAATGAATCTACGGCCGAGATCGTGAGATCTACTAACTCTCTAAAGATAATGTCGAATGTATCAAACCGTTTCACTTGAGCCGACGCTCATGGTATGAGGTATAAGTCTCTGGAAAAAGAATTCTTCGCTTACAGGTTATTTAATTTTGATTTATCTAATTACTTTTACTAATGATTGTGCATTTATTATAGATTTATTCAAGGAGGTAAAGAGCTCTAACCGAGCAAATTCCCCTTCGCCGCACGTTCGGACTATACAACGCTGTATAAAAAAACAAGCAGAGAATTTTCAAGAAGCACGGTTGATGGTAGCTGAACTAAAAAAAATATTTAGTCACTAACGGTTACCCATCAGTCGTTTGCTGGAGTGAAGACGCCACACGGATCACTGGTGGCGTTGAATCCAGCTTTCCACGCTCGGTAATGGCGTCCAGTATGGTATCAATAAATGTATCATTCACTGTGGTTTTGACATTAACTGGAGGTTCGCATTGTCACCCCTCTCTTTCCCACTCCCAGGAACAGAGGAAAATGGAACAACATGCGCCCTCCAGTTAGTGTCAAAAACCACAGTGAAGGATATATTTATTCATACCTACAGGACGCCATTGCCGAGTGTGGAAAGCTGGATACAATGTTTCTTCAGACCAGTTGACAGGACTAGTAGCACCACTGGATGCAACCACCGGAATGCCCATGACATCAGTTTTTGATTGCTCTTCACCGCGACAAGTATTAAACCACATGAACAAATGTCCGGTCGGTCGCAACATTCAGTTGACTATGAACCAACCATTGTTGGCTGGAGCATCACCGTTTTGTGTCAATTATTATTGCACAGATAATCGTTTTAACACCGAGGACGTTACAAAAAAAATGGAATTATGCCCATGAAATTTTCCAAGAAGAAGGAATTAAAATTGTCTGTATGGCAACTGATCGCGATACCCGATCTATTCGAGCCATGATCGATTGAATGGCACTACCCAGTATAACTGATAATCCATTCGGGGATTGGTTCATTGGATTGGCTACCGAGGATGCCATTTGTGTTCAGGACCCAACACACTTAGCCAATAAGTTCAGAACACGGTTGATGACCACCAGCAAGCAGCTAATGCTAGGTACTTGAAACTTAATTTGAATTAAAACTTTATATTATACGTTAATATATAAAATCTATTTCAGGTAGGTATAATATATCCAAAATTCACCTGGAAGAACTTATCAATACTACGTCCAAGGACCAACATGGTTTGGTTAAAGGAGACCTGAGTGAGCGGTACAAAATGAAATTTCGGCTTGTTCAAAAAATAACTGCTCCACAGGTTATTACGGGTCTGCATCAACATGTTGTTGATAGTACTGGAACAGCGGACTATCTACACGTCTGCGCCAGTGCCATGTCCTCATACATGGATGCCGAGGTTTTTCCACTCGCGACGATATCAAAAATTTGGTAGCTACAAGAAATAATCTAAAATTTACATAATTACCAACTAGCTCCTTGGAAACGGATTCTTTAAAACGTACTACTTCATAATGTTTCACAATCTTTAATATTAGCCAAATGAAAACAACATTTCTCGCGTAACATTTGAAAAGGGCCTATGTCCAAAATGTAAACAATCCAGAAAATGAATTGTAAATTTTTCCGCCAGTGTTTAATTCCTATATAAATAAATTGAAGTATTTTAGGCATTTATATTGTTCACAATAACAATAGTAACTATATCTCAGTACACAACATCCAAAACATGCGAAACGTTTTCAAAAATACATGAA